CGTTCTTGGCACATTTGCTTGGAAGCACGTACGTTCGTAGTCCCCCTCTTGGGGTTCCCAGCGCTTCGCATGATGTTGCATGCTCGTAGCGCGAGCTGGACTCGAGCGTTCAAAGTAGCCCAACCCTGGTTCAAATTGTAAAACTAAAACTTTCACCCTCCCCCCCCCCCCTTCGTCCTTTACGAAGGTTTCCTCTACGCCGTAAACGTGTTCGTTTTCGTCTAACTCCAAAAGTGCGAGCTGTGAATTTTTTTCCCCGTAATTTTTTGAGTGAAGCACTTTTGCGCTTTTTCAAATCACTGGTTCCGAGTAGGACAGGCGTGCAACGGGCGAGAGAAGAACTACTCCAACAACTGTGCCAAAGCCTCCTCTATTCATCGCTGTTCCATGCTCGACCATCGGTTGAACGACCGCCGAGCAGCAGTGTTAAATGTTCTGACGCGCAGCGCTCCGCGCTGCCAGGCTCCTATGCTGCGTCAGTGAGTGCGAGAGAGACAGATGCGCGCGCACAGCCGCCGGAGCCGCCCGGCGAGCGCCGCGGCCCGGCAGCACAAGCATAGGAACACGACCAATAAAACGTTTTGGTATAATTTCCGTAAGGTAAAAATTTCGTTGACTGGACTACACGGGCCAGTCGCTGAGGCACCACTACATCTATCTCTCTCACTCTTCTTGCCGAAGAGCGAAGAGCTTGTAATGCTCGTGGCCTATGCAGGTGCGGCTCGGCGTGTGTCTAAATGCTAACACGGTGACTCCCGTTTTCTTGCTCCATGCATGTCAGCCTTTCCGGAATGCTTTATTCTGGGACCTGCTGCTATCGTGCGGCAGATTGGCTTCTGCTGCGTCCACCGTCTCGCCTCGCTGACCGTGGGTGACACCGTTTCCCTGGCGGGAACCCCAGCCCCGGCCGGGGACTGTCTAAAAATCAACTGCAGCAGGTATGTAGTGTAAACATTCGATTGTACACCACCATTCGTATTTGAAAAGCCGTACAGAATTGTTATATTCAGTTAAGAAAAGTCTACTGGGGGCGGCGCGCCCCGGGGCCTAGACTGGGGTCTGGCGGTGTGGCGTAGCGTGG